TGGATGGGTCAAATGCAGAGACAAATTTCCCCCTTACCGGGATGAATGTAGTATAATTAAAAAAATAAATTAATTAATAAAATGCACAGCACAAACTCAATACGCTAAACATCTATTATGTTTTAAATAAACTCAATAGCTACATTTTGATAAAATGATGGGAAACTGTCTCCTTTAAACAGCCTGGTGGGTCAATTGGTCTCATATTTAACCTTTTTCTTCTGTATTTTAAAGCCTGTTAATTGTCTCCATTATCAATAAAATATAACACTATTTATTGAACAACTTTTACCTTGTATTGCTGTTGCCTTTACGTTTAGTTTTCATGCTCAAAATGGAGATCATTATGTTGTAATGTTGAGACTGAAATAAACATCCAGATCATATTTTATACTACAAAGATGCTGCCTATGACAATTGATTTCATACTATACAATCCCATCATAAATCAGACTTTCACAGCACTACATTTGCAATAGATCTTTGATAAAAGAAAGCTACAGAGTCTCTCAGCAAACTGAAGTACATGAACTGTAACGCCGAGGCCATTGTTGAGGTCACCTTACTGTCTATTGTGTACAGACTAAATTAGTTTTTCACCAATAAAATCATTTCCTACACATCTTTGTTGTGTTCAGCACTGTGAAGTTGCTCTGCTTTTCTTCATCACAGGCCAACAGGACTGAAGGAGTTTGTGATCAGATGGTTGACAGCGATGCCAGGGCTCTGTACGAGGCCGGGGAGGGGAGAAAGGGCAATAATTCCTCCGTCTTCATTGAGATCCTCACCAACAGGAGTGCCCCTCATCTCCGTAAAGGTCAGCAGGCTATCATGTTCAGTAAAATCTGTTTTTTTATGTTTGTGTCTGTCAGATCTAACACTCTTCCACTACTTCCTCTCCTTCAGTGTTCGAAAGGTACTCAAAGTACAGCAAAGTGGACATGGCCAAAGTTATCGATCTGGAGATGAAGGGAGATATTGAAAGTTGTCTCACAGCAGTAGGTAAAGGCACAACCCTCAACACAAACTTTCATTTATGCACAGACTTGATTGAAAGTTGACCCACTTTTTTAAATAACCACAGTAAAGTGTGCTGGAAGCCGGCCTGCGTTCTTTGCCGAGAAGCTAAACTTGGCCATGAAGGTACGGTACAAGTAGGTTACTACACACAAAATAAACGCATGCAGGATTATATGCCAGCTGCCACAAGACCTTCCCTGACTGAATGTGTTTTGCCCATCAGGGTAAAGGTACCCGCAAAAATATCCTGACACGCATCATGGTGAGCCGCTCTGAAATTGACATGAAACGGATCAAGGATGAGTACAAGAAAAACTATGGCACAACACTCTACAGGGATATTCTGGTGAGCAAACTTCTGATGACAATAAACTCATCCTACAGTCTATGTTTGGATGTCAGAATTGGTCAGGTCTTCATTGATATACAGATGGTTTAAAAAACAAGCAATGGGAAATAGTGCACAGTGTGAAAAAAAAGTACATTTTTCTTTTCTTCAGGATGACACTAAAGGAGACTATGAGAAGATTCTGCTCGCTCTCTGTGGGAGTGAAAACTAATAGCCGATCAATGGGATCAAGGCTCATACAACTGAAGAGCCAGCAGCCAGCAGAGCTGTGGAAAATCACCTATAATTTTTTGACACATATTGTGCACTATATGCTCTTGTGGAAAACTGACAAGACTCTCCTCCTTTCTGTCATGATATTTAGAAGATATTAACAGCAATGCGCAAAGATTAACATGGAATTGGTGGATATCTCAGTATAGATCTGACAGCAGTATGCGGAACCTATGCTTTGGGTCAGACTTGGCTTTTCACTAATTGGGTTCTTATTTCTGGTGTTGGTAGAGAAGCTGAAGTCCTTGATCACAGTGCCGCTAACAGATGTATACAGATCTCTATGTGCCAATCATATTCAGCAGCAGTGAGCCTTACCCTTGAAGGTGCTTGGACAATTTGCAAATAAAAGCTTTTGTATGAAAGCCCATCTGAGTGGTTTTGATTCTTTGCATATACACACATACAGTACCAGAAAGACATGAACCAACCAGCTATAATATGTGTTGCCAAATATTTACACACTAATAGTATAGAATATTTACATATACATACACACACACATATAATCTTTAACACTCACGATGCACAGGCAACCACATATTTGGGCTCAATCTATGGCAAAACCAGTGGCGGGCCGTGCGTTTTATACCTGGGCCTCCACTGCTGTCCTGCAGCTGAAACAGCTCATGACGCCACAGCTACGGTTATTATTTGTTTCGTGTAAAAATGAAGCTCAACACCTATAAATACACTAACTGCAGAGTGCAGATACATGAATAAGCCGAGATGTGTCTCCTCTCTTCTCTGACTGCAGCTGAGGCTACTGTAACAGTAACCGCCTGCGAGTGCTTTGGGGCGGCTCACGGCAGCACCCGCTGCTCGTTCACGACAGTAACTGCAGAACGGTACATGCTTTCACGTCAGAGTCAAAACACCAGAAAAGTCGCTAGATTTGTCGCTAGTAGCTTTTGACAAAAAGTCGCCATGAGGGTTCGGAAAGTCGCCAGATTTAGCGAGAAAGTCGCCAAGTTGGCAACACTGGCACCGACTAAATGTGTCCCCAGTGCAACATTGGACGCAACAATAGCTCCTATCACATATAAAACCAAACAAAAATCCATCTTCAAAAAAACAAGTTGTACAAATAATAATATATAAACAAGCATATTAAAGCTACTGCAGATGTAAAAACAAAAGCAGTTCACTTACCAAAGCTGCTGTTCACCATTTAAAGACAAAGTCCATCCTCCTTTCTTTAACAAGTTTAATCTCACGGTTGTTCAGTACATCCGTGCGTTTGAGTTCCAGTAAGAAGTCCTTCTCGATTCATGGACGCCAGTGAAGACCGTTGAGCCTCCCCAGTTGTATTTCTTGAACACGTTTTAATGCGTTGGGGGCTGAAAATGTCCGCTCAATGGAGGCAGCAGATATTGGGAATGTCACCGCCCAACATGTCACGCTAGCCCACTGACCAATCACATATGGCTAGGTCAGCTAGCAGGCTCTGACATGTCAAAGAATACGCCCAACATGTCAAACTAAAGATCTGATTGGTTGAACACTGACAATCAACAATATCGTCCCCATTTACTTAAACTGCAAGGGGATTCACTTGTGCGTCTGCAGGCCTGGGGCCTCTCTTCTTACCTAGAGACACAGAGGTGAAATCAGATTGGATAAAAGCTCTACTTAAAACAAGCTGCACTGGAAGCAGAGCAAGTGAGGAAGACAGTAGCTGTGCAATGAGAAAATAAGATAATGCGAAAAAAATACATGGTGTATTTATGAAAAATTATTAAATTATAAAATAGCTATAACTTTGTGATTCTGTCTAGGCCAGCAGAGTAGGCCTTGCTGGCCCTGACGGCCCACCACTGCGCAAAACTTTAGAAATGATTTCTTTATTCATTGTATATTTTAGCATCATTAAGGTTTGCCACTGTCATACCTGCTAAAAAAGTAATTGTGGAATAAAATCTATTTATTGCTTGCTGCTGCTGACTAAAGGTATTGTACCATCTCTTCCTGTTGCTCTTGGGCTAACCATTTGATGAGGATTTCTTTTATTTTTTAGATTGAGACTCATTTAGAGCATTTGGACTATGGCTCAAGCACCCGTTTAATACTCCTTACTTAGAATTAAATCCACTTTAATGAAAATACATCTTTACCTCATACTTTTTTCCCTACAATCTATATCCTGCCCTTACCATATTCCACTGTGGATGGACACAGTGTCACTTTGTCAAACATGGCAACTTCAACATAACTAATCAACACGCATGTACTGGTTGTATCAAAAAAAGAGGACGTCTTTCAGCACAGAGAGGAGCTTTTTTGGATGTCATCAAGGGCCTGTGTCGTCTTGATTATTTAGACTCTCCCGTAATGATAAAGTTTGACTGGGCTCAAGTGATGCAGTCATCAATCAGATGTATCATTATCCTGATTGATAATCTCAGGAGCATGAACGCATTACCTTCTGCCGAGGCACGTAGTGAGCAGGTAGCGCCAGGCCCTGATGTGCTGCCATGATAACATGCCACACCTTAATTAAAGAAACTCATTACCTAATTGAACCAAAGACAGACTTTTCTTGAGAAATGTTAAGGTGGTCTTTGCTCAGTCACTCCTGCAGGTATTGTCAAGCTGATGTGCCCAGCGATAAAGATCAACACACAGTGGGGCTTGTATTGATTTGATGAGGTTCAAAGTAACCTTCTGATAGGCTAACACTTTTGCAAGAGAGATAACAGCAGGAATGTAATTCTGTCTTCTGGCAAATGAAACAGCAATAAAATCAAACTTTCCCTTACGCCAAGGACCCTCTGCATTCCAGCAATAAAGACTTAACGTGTCACGGGATGTGGTGGCGGACCCAAAAGCAGACATGACCAGGGAATACAGAGAAATCCAAGGACGAGAGGGCGAGGGTGAGAACCGGGCAGGACAAGGCAGGGCAGACAGACTGAGGAACCGGGAGGGTGATCCAAACTGTAGACACAGGAAGACAAAGGCGAGAACAAGGGAAAGATAACTCGGAATACAATTCCGCTGAGTGGCCGAGAACAAACAGTACCGAGGAGGTTGAAACAACAATGATCTGGCAGAATGTGGATGTGGAACTGGAGTTGATATACTGTTGTGTGATGAGTAGATGGAAGGCAGCTGGGTTGACTGGGCAGGTGAGTTGAATGAATGCAATCAGGAGGGAGCCAGGAGCTTCAATCCAATGGCAGCTGTGGAGGGGAGTATGGGCTGGACCCGTTATAGGTGTGGTTTATCATGAGTATAAATAAACGCTTCCTGTCGCTACAATGCCCGTGGAACCTCAGTAAGACAAACTTCTTCCCTCTAAGGACACACGGTAAGACATTTTCCTTCGATTTAAAAAAAAAAAAAAGAAAAAAAGAAAAAATAAATAATCTGAAATCTGTTCTCCAGCTTTTATTTTGAGTTTGCTGAAGTTTAGTACCAGATGTGATGCCTTTAAATCCTCTCCTTAAATATAATGAGGCGACCTATGAGGGTGTGGTTGGATGAAGGAAATACGAACATGAGTTATCTCTGCTAACAAGTTTAATAGATGAGAACTTTACCAGTAAAATCAATAAGGGTAATTTCTTCTTTGAATACTCTCAGTGGACTGAATATGATCAGTGGACTTTGTTTCATCAAATCTTTTCTTCTCAGACTCCAGTGATCTCACTATGTCTGTCATCCAAGCCTTGCTGCAGCAGACATGCATGCCCGATGACTCGGTATGTAATTCTGTGGTTCTGTTCCGGTTGCTCAGTCAAATAGCCCTGTTTTTGTTTATCTTCCTGGTGGTTGGAAAAAGAATAATTTCAAGAGGCACTGTCATGGTCTTTGGTGGCATGGCAATGTAGGGGCAGAGGCTATACAGCAAGTGCCACAGGGGTTATAAAACCTGTCAAAATGATGTTGTATATCCTTTGTATGTCTTATGTGGAAGATGGCTGCAGCAATGTGTAAGGGGAGAGAAATGTGATTTTACCTATTTTTAAAGAATACTTATGCATTTTTCTAATTCCTTTGTTGCAAGTTTGAAAACTACCTCATGCACACCACTTGGTAGTAGAAGTATTTACCAAACTCACAATAATCTGTGTTGTGTCTTTCAGGTCCAGGAGGGAACGGTGACTGCATCACCCAATTTCAGCCCCAGTGGAGATGCAGCAGTCTTGGATGAAGCCATCCAGGCAAAAGGTGAACTTAATGTGCACACAGGGAAGCTTTGGAGTGTGTCAACATGTGTCTGCTTTGGAAAATGTGTCTGTGCTACAAGTACAACATACTGCCCTCTAATGTAAGAACTTTAACATCCCCTGCTGGCCATCATGCACCATTACTCAGTGTAATGTCTAAGTTTATTTTAATCAATTAGTGCAAACTAAAGTCTCCACCTACTTTCATATCTATCTGTCATGCAGAATAATATAACTGGTGATTTTACTTCGCAACATATTCTTTGTGCAGGTGTGGATGAGAACACCATAATTGAAATCCTGGTGAAAAGGAGTAACGACCAGAGACAGCAGATCAAAGAGGCTTACCAGCAAGCCAGTGGCAAGGTTATTACATTTAAATAAAGACTTTCACAGCTAGAAAGTAGAGGTTGTTCCAAAGTACATGCAATGTTACACACATGATCACATGCTCTCAAACACTTTATTTGCTAATCGGTTGTCTTATAG